ACCGTTTCGCTCGCACACGCAAACACGCATCTTGAAGAGGTTCAGATCATACGCACTCGAAAAAACATACGCCGGCAAATCATTCCACTACTTAGCTGTACGCATCGTAAAATATTTCGTATAGCGCTTAGTGCGAATATTGGGAGTGTAAACCAAGTGTGGATTTTTACGTCAAATACATTCATTACTATGTAAGAGACTCGTGTTTAGTAGTGGAATGAACGAGGACTGATGAAAGAGAATACGACAGATGAACAAATAACTAATTTAACAAATTCCCGGATCAAATCGGCGGCGGCACAGCTTTCGCATTTCCGGGTGCTGTATATTTTGCCGTGGCCAGAACTCATGAGCTGATACTCGAATAAAATTTTATATAACGTGTTAATTTATCCAGATTTAAATCAGTTTCAAGAGTTGATTAAACATAAGTATACATTTTGGGGAATTCCCGAAAGCATGTCTAATAAATTAAAAGGATCGCGCGGTGGACATCCTGCTCATAAGTCATAAGAGATCTCTCATCAAGAGAATCCCCGGGAGTAGCCGAATATAGGATGTTATTTTACATGTCTGATATATATTTATTTTTGTTTTCATAAGGTACCTCACTCATAAGGTTGTACTTTGTTGTACTTTCGCCAGTATCAAGTAAAAGAAATTATCCTATATAATAATTCGTTTCAAACTTTTTCATAATACTTTAAATGCGCTACATTGCGAATTTTTTGCAGAATTTTGATGACAGCTTGAGGCAGCAGACTGTCGATGGCTATGGTATCTTAAGTCGCCTAAGCGAACAAAATAACTTTAGGTCTACTTTACCATCGGAGCAAACGTTTCATTTTTCCCCCACTCCTTATTATGTATCAAAATCCACTTCAAACCATTATTTAAACAATAATACAGGTAAAGCAATCCGCCGGTGATCAAATTCCCACTAAAAGCCCCTGTTCTTTGGTTATTTTCTTATTCATTTAAAACTATTGCATTACCCTTAAAAGAAACAAAGGGCGGATAGAATTAACGAATGGATTGACAGCCAGATAGTGCCATTCGGCTTTGTCTGGCTGTCAATCGATTCATTAATATTTAATTATTTCGTTCATTACAGCTTTCAACTGCTGAACATAAGTCCTCCCACGTAGATTAACTATTAGAGTAAGGATAGTTGCGATATTTATACTTACTATTGAAACTCTATAAGAAAAATTTATAATAATTAACAAATATTATGTCAAATTATCTCGTTATACTAATGTTACCTGCTGCCCACGGTGCAATAATATGGGGAAACGGCCGCCAGTTGCGATCTCTGTCGCACTTACACGCCTGACGACCGGCATAGTGACGCATCTATGGAGTGTATAGGTAAGGAGTACACTCTGTATAAAAACGTGTCCGTAGGAAAGCGTTAAATAAGGGTGGCGCCACTGTAGCTAGTCTAAATTTTAAAGAACTTTTTATATTTTTAAGCTATTGCATAGCTTCTATCGCGGGCCTTGAGCGCGGGGACCGAAACCAGAAATTCCGTAACGAAAAAAAACCTCACGCTCCCCACTCCGACGGGCATGGAAGTGTGGCGTTGAAAGCCGTGTATCGTCTAATGTCGTTTCAGTTCGGCAGACTTCGGCACTCGGCAGACTTCGGCACGGTGTTTGTGTGCGTGCGACTAGACGTAGGCATGTACACTAGCTGCTAACTCAATGATAAAAATTCCTGAATAACCTACATGTATTGTAAGATATTAAAAATATTTTAAACAATATTAACTTCTCATTTATTCAATAAGAGAAAAAAATTTTTTTCTTATCGGTCACCACGCTCAAAAAGTGTAACTTGATTTAATATCAAAGACTTAACTGCATAAATAAAATAAATAAATAATTATAATTGCATAAGTTGATAAAAAATGCTATGCAATAGCTTTACCGCGGCAGTCACCGAGTGCCACACGTATTTTTTTTATTGCACAGTCTTTCACCATAATTCTTTTTACAATAATTATTTTATTGCTTTCAAAATTTTCATTTTCAAAATCACTCAACGTATTTTACGGCGATTAAACATACACCGTAGCTATTCGAGCGCTGTAGTGGAGAGTTTTTGAACTGTTATTTACTGCTTACAGATGGACATTTTTTCAACTATTCTCCTATAGTACTTGGTACTCATTACTTCTATACGCCATAGACGCATCACTGTCGTGTCGACATAAGGCCCGTAAGTGCGACAGAGACAGGCGTCCCGTTTTCCCATTTTATTTCACCGCGGGCAACGAGTGTTTAATATTAGTATGTTTTTTTTTCTTCAGATACTTCAGAAATAGATCACAAACACATTTTATTTGTACAGTACAACATAAACTTATATTACAACATTTTTCTGCACACTGCAGTTCGCAGTCGTTCGAACTTAATGAGAAACAATTACAATATTCTTACATAATTTTCTATATTATTTGTTAAAGTCGCCACGTTTCGCAAACGGGTTGGCAACCGCAGCTCTTTTAAGTTATTATCAGAAACTCCTGCTCACTCCTGTTTTGGTTTCCATGTCCGCTTACGACAACGATGTGATGATATGATGTAGTGAATGTTATTCTAAAAACATGTTTTGCTAATGCGCCTGCTAAATGTAATTTGGAAAATTCCTACATACAATTTCTGAAAGATTCTATGTTTAGCAGTGACCTTGTGATGAGCTCTAATGAATAAATGAATAAATAACAGATTCTCTTAAATAATCGATTGTCTCTGATAGTAAAGCGTTAGAGTTGTAAAAAGTAGTTTAGACATATATTTTTTAATGTTTTATTACACAAAAATACAGTTGGTTGTTTCTTATACAGGATGGGCCTTAACTGTATGAGTGGTGTGAATATGCAATAAAAAAATAACTATAAATCTTATTGTCTTTTTATTTATACATTTAAAAAGTACAGGAAATTGAAATTTCAGTGACATCTAATTTTTAAAGATAATGTTATTAATAAGTCAGAATGTGTCAAAAAAGGCACGTATGGCAATTCACAGTGCTGTATTAGTCCCTACTTTAACGTATGGTAGTGAAAGTTGGGTGTGGCAGAAGAAGCACGAGAGTAGAATAAATGCAGTAGAAATGCGGTCGCTAAGGATAGGGCTGAATCTGAGTGACAGGGTGAGAAACTGTGTGATAAAAGAAGAGTGTGGTTTGCAAGATGATGCGGTGACCAGGATTAAGAAAGGAATGCTTCGGTGGTTTGGTCATGTAGAAAGAATGAATGCGGAAAGACTGACAAAGCAAATATATGTTGCAGAAGTGAATGGAAGAGTCGGAAAGGGACGTCCTAGGCGGAAGTTTGTCGACCAAATTGGCGATATACTAAAAATGGGCCAAATTAAGAGTACCCTTAACCGACGAGCATGTATGCGTAGGTATATGGATGTGGAAGAGGCGAGAAAGGTATGTCAGGATCGTGCTAAATGGAAGTCTGTAGTCTCTGCCTACCCCTCTGAGTGACAGGCGTGAGTGTTTATGTTATGTTATTTAAGTGACCGCCACCAGCTTTTTGACATTCTTGTAGTCGCACTCGCAGATTTTGAAAAACACGTTGACAAATTGCTCGTGGAATAGCGTTAATTTCTTTCACAATGTTTTGATTTAACTCTTGAACTGTTGTTGGATGATTTTTCTGATTTTCATAGATTCTTTCTTTTAGGTAACCCCACAAAAAATAATCATTAGGAGAAAGATCTGGACTCCTTGGAGGCCACTCAATGTCTCCTTTTAGCGATATGAGTTTTCTTGGAAACATTTCCTTCAGCATGTCTATTGAGACTGTAGAAGTGTGGCAAGTGGCTCCATCCTGTTGATACCACATCCTAGAATTGTACCCTTGAAATTCTTGAAGGGCTGGAACCAGAAACTCTTGCAACATCTGACAATAATTCTCAGATCTCACTGTCAAAGCAACTCCTCTTTGGTTTTCAAAGAAGTATGGCCCAATTATTCCAGCCCATACAATGACCTTAGGGCTATGCAGAGGTCTTTGATGTATCTCGCGGGGATTCGATTCGGACCAAAAGCGGCAATTTTGCTTATTAACATGTCCGTTGACATGAAAGTTTGCCTCATCACTGAAGATTATGTTGGAAAAATTGTTAAAACGTTCCAGCATAACATTAGCAAAGTTAAGTCGAAGATTGGCATCATTAAGATTCAACTCTTGTGTTAACTGAATTTTGTACGCTTTTATGTGCAAATCACGGTGCAAAATCCTGCGCAAAGTAGTCCTCTTGATGTTCAAGATTTGGCTTCTTTTGCGAGTCTATTGTCGAGGGTTTTCTCTAATCGATTCATGAACGCGTTGAATAATCTCCGGCGTCCGTATTGACTTCGGGCGGCCCGCATTATTTATTTTTACTGTACACCCGGTTTCTTTGAACATCTAAACCCATTTCCTATAATAGAATTTGCGCATGGTGCTTCTCTGATGTCATGTAAGCCGAAGTGAACGCGGTACATTCGCCTAGCAACAGTCACAGAATTGTTGTTGACATAATACGCGCGAACACAAAACGCACGCTGTGCTCCCGAGAACGCGTCCATGGCAACTAAACATTCAACGAAATGGCGCGTCTAACTACACCCCCGCGCCCCCCCCTACCTTTAAACGGTTTTTGAATTATAGACAAAATAAAACGCTCATACTGTTAAGGGCAACACTCCCAAACTGCAAGGCAGTTTGTTGGCAAATACATCACCAAATACTTTAATCATATGTACCTTCTGTAATTAATATCCTAATATTGAATTTAAAACTTAAGATAGAATTAAATTTAAACTTAGCAGTGTTATTTACATATCTTGAAACTCATTATTACACGTAGAAATAATAATTAAAACTATTATTTTCAATTTAGACATTGTTAACTATTACACTTATAATTATCAACCAAACACGTTTTCTTTATTTCATAAATGGGTGGGCTGTAAAAATTGTTTTTTGTTTTGAACAGACCGCATTGGGTGGCAACATCACCAACAGCGTTCTAACGTTTGTGCCGACGATCGAAGATAGCGGGAAAGTGCTGTCTTGTCGAGTTGTTCAACCTTCAATACCACATTCCACGCGGGAAGACGGCTGGAAACTAGAAATACAGTGTAAATATAATAAATAGATAGTAAAGCATATTGCAGTGTAAATAATAAGGTTCTTTCTGTTAAATGTTGCATTTTAAAAATTCTTTAGCGTTTTGTAATTTAACGTACACATATGAGTTAGAACAGTAAACTGTAACTATGTAGATGATTTTATGTATTAAGGATCGGGAAATCTTTGATTTTAACTGGTATCCTTAAAATAATAACTATAAACTTGGTGGTTAACGTTGGTTAGCAGAAAAATATTACTATAACGAAATCATTTGCATTTAAAATTATAATTAGCGATAAGACACGGAAATATAACTTCTACGAGTACATAAATGCATGCACAATTTTTTTTAATGGAAATGTTTTTTTATTGTTTGTATAACCGACCAGTGTTGGACATGCTACGTATTTTCCAGATTTGCCTGTGGTGAAATTAAGTATGGGTGCAAATATTGACGCCGATAAAGTGGTGGAAGGATCCGACGTGTATTTGGATTGTAGAGTACGGGCGAACCCTGGGCATAGTCATGTGATGTTCACTCATAATGTAAGTAACTTTACATATTCTTTAGCAGTCTAAAGTTGAACATGAGTCTAACCTATTGGAGAAAAAATTTGCAGTAATTACCACAAATGGCAGGCAAATTGCCAGTGACGATTTACGGAACCGTTACATGACCGCGTTCATAGTTGTCCATATTTGTAATCTCAAAATCACTGCAAGGTATGGAGAGGGTTATGTTCGGAGTTTCTTTGCGAAAAAAATCTGTTACGAAGATAGCCACAGAAGTACCAGAGTAACTATGTAATTTTTCTTTATTTAAAAACTCTTCTATTTATTTTACGAGCTGTTTTGCAGTAAACGGAAGTGCATGAAAACACCTTTTTTGTTGTTGTTGAATGAATAGCTTGTAATATACGACAGTAGTCTAATGGTAGGGCGCGGACCGCGAACTCAAAAGGTCGTGGGTTCTAATCCGCCATTTGACTACTATCGTGAATGACTCCTAACACAAGCGTTCCAAGCTTACCAGGAGTGGTTAAATGGAATATTAGTAATGTTAATTAATAAGATTACATGAACCTTGTATGCAATAAAACAGATCGTTACGAAGAACGAAACGTTTTTAAAATTGAGGAATCTGGCATTTGTGTGAACCCATAGGGTAGACTCATGTTTAACAGTGGACTTGCGTTGAGATGTAACGATAATATTAAGAAACTTGTGTTGAAATTAATAATTGAACTTTACACAACCAGGGCGTCCCAGTAAAACCAGGGACTGGAGTTCTTCTGGCCAACCAAAGCCTAGTTCTTCAGCGAGTGCCCCGAGTCGCGGCTGGTGCATACGTCTGTTCAGCCAGGAACAGCCTGGGAGATGGTCACAGCGCGCCGCTGCATTTAGATGTTAAATGTAAGTGCTGGATGTTACAATTACGTTTTTATAGCAGTAAGGATGACGTGCATATAGTCCACCTGATGGTCAGTAGATATGGTAAGTAGATGTGAGCCATAGACACCAACTAATACTCAAACAAGCAAATGTCACTCCTGAGAACTATGATAGAATATACAGGGCTACCGCTAACAGTACAGCTAACTTATTTATACTATGGATGCTTAAAATTACACAAAATCAAATCTTAATAAACAACCTAAAGTTGCTCTCTCTCTTTTCACTAAATGACATTGGAATGAGACAGGTATAGTGGTACCTCTAAATTAAAATTATTGAGTTTTATTCCGATCTACGCAGTATGAATAATTTTAAACTGAACGTAGAAGTGGTTAACTTATGACATTGGGACGTCGAACACCTCAGTCAGCACTTTACAGCACCCATGGTCACGGGGGGGCCGTGACCAGGGTGCTGTAAAGTGCTCGAAACGTCGGGAATATAAAATAAGTTAATATACGCGATAAAATCCATAAAAGTTAGTTTTATTTAAATGTGTAGTGTTCGCGTTAATGTAAGAAGTCATTAATTAATACTAAATATATAAAAAGCGATATTAATAAACTAAAATAATCCTGTATATCACACAGGATTATTTTTCAGAGTATCCAAATTTTATATTTAAATTTAAATATATAATGATATAGGTACAGTTGTTGCAATTTTTGAAAATACGAGTAAATAAGGTTCCTACTTTAATTTGAAATTGTCCCGAATTGAATTTGATTTATGGAAAACAAATATATATATATATATATATATATATCACGTCAGAATTAAATGAATATGGCGGACGCGAAATATCAAAGCTAAAACATATTATAAGATATATAAATATATTTAATAGGTCTATCTTTATCGTTAGCAATAAAACTGCAAACAATACATTTATTTTAAACAGTTGTACCAACTTGCACATCGCAACAGCCGACAATCATCAGAGCAGCTAGAGGGGAGGTCGTCGAGATCCGTTGCGAACTGGATTCGAATCCAAAAGTAAGTTTCTTGTCCTCTGTAACTTGGATTTTACAGCTATATCGGTCTCAGGCCCTGAGACCGATGGATTTAAGTACCGGAGACCGATAGATTAGGAGTTATAACACCTTCGAATTGTACTGCCCTAAATGTTAAAGGTTGAGTGGAACTGATATTCTCTTGATTAAGTGCGCCTATCGTTCTATTTTTGTAAGGTTCAAAACAGGTAAAATTAAAAAAAGCCGAAATTAGTCTACTACTTAATACATTACAGGCCTTATCACATATCCCAGAAATATTTTTGATTTCCTTCATCTGGTACTGGCAGAGTGGGGATCGAACTCTGATTTCTCGCGTACTATGAAATTTCAAACGAACGCCACTCAGTGAGTTACCATGTAACTACCCATAAGATGTTTAAGGAGTGGAAGGCCCTGCCGGTGTCTGTTTTTCCGAATGATTTTAACCTAAACCTCTTCAAGGTGCGTTTTAACAAGACCTCATCTTTGCCCTTGGGCCAGATAGAAGTCAACAGTGAGCCCATTTATAAAAAAACGACGACCGACGTAAAAAATACCCCAGAACGCGAATACTGCAGTCGAGGAAAACGGTATGATTAAGACATTCACCAACGACGGAGGCCCATTTTGAGTAGTGCAATTTTATGATTTTATTATGAAGAAAAGAATCGCAACATCACGCTAAAAATCAAGACCAGCTGATCGCATTTGTTTTGCACAACACCACATTACACCTACATACAAACATTTATACATACATACATACATACATACATACATACATACATACATACATTCAAACGCACTAAAAATTCTCACGCCTGTCACTCAAGGAGGCAGAGACGAATTCCCATTTGGCACGATCTTAACTCACCTCTCGAATTATTCACATCTATGTATTTTACACGTAAATGCTCGCCGGTTAAGAATACTCCAAATTGGAACTATTTATAAGCTATCGCCAATTTCTGCCTCTCACGTCTGCAACAAAAAATTGCTTTATCACTTTACTTATTCGTTCTTTCTATGTTCTTAAACCACCGATGCATTTATTTTTTAATCCTGATCAATACATCATCTTGCAAACATCACTATTCTTATAGCACAGGGTTTTTTATCCTAAAGTCCAGAGTCACGTCTCTCGCGTTATACGCTTCACTACTCAAGCAAAGCGAGAGTGGATTCCTATTGTAATGAAAAGCGCGGATAAGCTTTTAGGTAAATGGCAAACAATGTCTATTGACTCTGAAATCGCGAACGATAAGGCTGAACAATGAGAGTAGAAGGATCAAAGCTGAAGACGATAGATACGATAACGCTTAGGAGTGCGAGAAAATAATCTTTTAGTATTACTGTCGCACTATAAACTACATATTTTTAAGTAAAAATAAAGTAATTAATTAGTATAAAAGTAATATAGAAAACAGAAAAAAAACAGTAAAGCTGAAGTAAATAAAAATAAACAATCAAAGTTTTTTTTCTAAGTAATAATCCTCGATATCTTCGTCATTAGTGAACCAATTTAAACGATTCGTTATTTTACTAAATAGGTTATACTTCAGCGTTTTTTTATTTTATGGGACTATAATTTAAAAAAATCAGAGTGGATAAAAAGATAATGTTTTTAATGTTTAGTCCACTCCAAAGCGTCGTCTTAGACAACTGACTTAGCACCGACTTCTGAAGCGATTATGTGAAAATTATTTAATTTAGTTCTTTGAAGTCGACTTTTACTTTAAATTATTTATATATTTCAACCAACAAGGATCATAGGGTAATATTACATTCATTCAATTCAATTCTAATACTAAATTTAGAAAGCATTACTAAAATTAATTATATCAAATGCGTAAGTATTTATAATGATATTGAAAATATAATACCTAATAATTTTATAACAATCAAATAACATAAACCGATGTCACCGTAACATACACCATACCCGATTGGTATTAAACAACCACCAACAAAACTTACTATAACGATGATGTGGCGGCGCTGTCGTCGCGCCACTAGCGAAACACACCGAAGCCTAAATCGCGCTATCAAAATTCCGAATCATAAACAGTATAATATATAGAACTTCTCCGAACTATCACACGGAGTGTTGGCCGCTCCCCGGGCAGAACACCTTGCCCGGCGGGAGATTTTTTCCCCTTTTTCTTCACGGCCACAATATATAATAATAATAATAAATAATTAATTTGTTAAAAATACAAAGAAAAAGTCTTAAATTTTTGTTAGTAATAGTAGGTAATAAATGAAATAACATTAGTTCATATACCTGGGGTGCATGTCCGAGGCAATGGGTAAATGCGGTACATGGACATGAACCCAGTGCCTCAAAAAAGTACACTCGGGTTTCTCGGGCATGAAACCCTATGCAACATTGACGCAATTCTTTTGCAAATAAGTGTTGAAAAATTAAATGTCTCATTTTATTTGTTTGATTCACTTACTTAAAGTTTTATACAAATATTGCATAAATAGGTGTGCTAAGAGGCTCATTGGTGACCCGAATTTGGTTTAAATCAATCTTACCAGCCTCGAACACCGGCGCAAAGTAGCCAGCCGCCAGCCTTTCGGTCTTCTACAGGATACATTTCGGAGAGTGTGCTGAGGAATTGCATAATTTAATTCCTCCCTCTCCCTTCATCATCGGACAACCGGACGTCTGGCCAGTCTCCACCCTTTCGTTGTTGACTTACCACGCATTCGAACAAAACGGTTCGTCATGTGTACAGCGAAGGAGTGGAATAAGTTGCAAGCAACTGTCTTTCCATCCGATTACAATGTTGGTGTCTTCAAGGCAAGAGTGAATAGGTTTTTGTTAAGTCAGTGCGCTGTACCATCTTAAGCTACATCACCACTTACCATCAGGTGGGATTGTAGCTAAGTACTGGCTTAGAAAAGTTAAAAATAAGGGCTATTGTAGTATTAAGGAATTCGTACATAACAATAGCCCCGGGCATGATGTGATCTTCACAAAGCTATTTCTATTCGTAATTTTATACTTAATTGTACAACCCGCTGGGTTTCTTACTGGTTCTCCCCTGAACACATTTTCCGAACCAGTGGTAAATTGAAACATGACTCAATACGTTATGTGTTACCAACATTGAAAAATATAAAAGTTTATTGCTATTTCCAACTATTAACCAATCACTATTTATTTAATTGGATAAAACCGCATCGGCGCGTAATCTAATAATAGGTACATATAGCAGTTTGCGCAATTTTGAAAATAAATAGTAAATCTAGGATTGGACTTACAGAGAGACATTAAATTGTTGAAATACAAAGATCTAAAGCCTAAAGTCAAAATGTCTTTCATTTGGATCAGTGGGCGGCATAAGAGAAGAGCGTAAGAGCAGTGTCGTAAAAGATGACTATGAGAAATTGAGAAATGTCAGAGAGATTTTATATTGAGCACACAGTACGCGAACGACCTGAGTTCGAGCCCCGCCAGCATCTATCAAACTGGCATTTGTAATTTTAAGTGCTGATTTGTCACGTGCCCGGCGGTGAAGTAAAAGATCGTGAAGAAATCTGCACGTCTGAGAAATAAAAAATATATTTCTAAGACGTCTAAAGTCCGCCAACACAACGGACATTTCCCTGCCCTAAAACCTTTCTTGTGAGAAGAGGCCTATGGCCAGCAGTGGGACGTATATAGGCTGTAACTTTACTTACCTTTTATTTTATGGATCAGATATATGACGTTATAACCGACCTGTTTATGTAAGTCGTAAAATACCCAAACCGAATACTATTGTACTTTAGTAGAAAGGGGATGGGCATGGCACGAGACGTCTATAAGCAAGTCAAGTCTGTCTAACAATGGACTCCTGTGGGCTAGTAAAGAACATTAAGTCGCTCATACACATATACATACAAATAGCGGCACGCTTTTAATCTCTAAGCGGGTAAGGAGAGTCCAAAGAGCAGCGAGCTACATGGACTATGTTTAGCCAAAAATATGGGCTTAGATGGTGTTCAACGTAACTAAGTTTGCGTCATCGATAGCAGATGGCGTTGGGCGGTGTTCGTGTTGCGATGTAGTTTGACCAACACGGTATGCTTAGGTGCTGTGGAATAATTTGCATAGTGAAATCAAGTGATCAAAAGTGTGTTCCTTAGTGGGATCCATACTGTGATTCATAGTGTGTGGTAAGAAAATACACTGTACGCTCATTTCATCAACTTCAACTGCACCCCTGACATCCACCATCCACCGTTGTGGATCCCAGGGGACTATGAACATGTCCAAGCTCAAACAGATGGAAATTGTTAAAGAAGTTACTGGTGGCTAGCCAATCGCCTACACAATCACAAACCTAGTTTCCCATCAGTCGCTTATTACGATACATTCTTTTCTGTTATAATACCCACATCAACATGAGATCAATAAGTCCCAGTTCAACATGGAACACGCATGAAATAGCAATAAATATGTATTGAAATAATACTAGTTTTTACGGAATTTATCGCGAATATTTAACTTTTTAATTACCCGACGTTTCGAACGCTTTACAGCACTCATGGTCACGGGCAGGACTGAGATGTTCAACGTCCATATGTCATAGTTAACCGCGGTTACCATAGATTAAAATTTAACTTTTGTTCCGATCTATGCAGTATGAACTTATGGTATCTTGAAGTCTTGCAGTTGTATGCTTGGGTTGGGATTTAATTTTATTTATTATAGGATCCCAAGCAGATGGTAGCACCCAGCCATCTTCTCTATTGAAATTAGGATGTTTTTTGATTTCAATAGCCTCGCGAATCATCCTTGGAAGGAATCGGTGTTCTTTAGCGAGGATCTGCGGTCTATCAAATCTGATGTCGTGACGGGGGCGATCCTGTACGTGTTCACAGACTGCAGACTTCCCGGAGCGTCGATTCTTCACATCAGCTATATGTTCTGCAGTCTGTGAACACGTACAGGATCGCCCCCGTCACTACATCAGATTTGATAGACCGCAGATCCTCGCTAAAGAACACCGATTCCTTCCAAGGATGATTCGCGAGGCTATTGAAATCAAAAAACATCCTAATTTCAATAGAGAAGATGGCTAGGTGCTACCATCTGCTTGGGATCCTATAATAAATAAAATTAAATCCCAACCCAAGCATACAACTGCAAGACTTCAAGATACCATAAGTTCATACTGCATAGATCGGAACAAAAGTTAAATTTTAATCTATGGTAACCGCGGTTAACTATGACATATGGACGTTGAACATCTCAGTCCTGCCCGTGACCATGAGTGCTGTAAAGCGTTCGAAACGTCGGGTAATTAAAAAGTTAAATATACGCGATAAATTCGGTAAAAACTAGTGTTATTTCAATGTGTAGTGTTCGCGTAAATATAAGAAATCATTAAATAAATATGTAATAGGACTACCAAGAAGGGTAAGAGTAGGGTATCCTTTTTGGTAATGTTATTACGTATTTACTGACAATAAGGCTTAAGTGATTTAATTTAAAATAAAACTGCAAAAAACACTGGAAAGGTGACTCTAATTTTTCTCGGAACTTTCTTTTTCCATAAAAATTAATCACTTAATGGAATGAACGCCTTGTTTTCAAAAGAAAATTCGGCCATACCTCTGTTGAATATTAATGTAGGTCAAAAGGTCTTTTGCAGAGTGAAACGAGGAATATTAAATTATTTTAAATATAAACTTAAGTTTGATAACAATACAGTGTCGTTTAAATAATGTAGTCTTTATCAAAATATTTTGGGATAATTATGTTATTTTTAAACGTAAACTTAAATCTTATAACAAAATAAAATTATAATATCAGAAAAAACTAACTACAGTACTAATTAAATACCTACTTTTAATAAAGTAGAAGGAATCAGTTTGCCTCAGCACGGGCTTGCCTTTTCAGGCTAAGGTCTCTCCAAATAACAGTTTGTAATAAACGTAGCATGTCTACTGCTGAACGAAGGCATCTACCATAGATTTCCAGAAAGTACAGCCCTGGGCCTGGAATTATCGACTTCCTGCGTGTTTCATTAGTTCAAGTGCAAGTATGAGGCTGCTACTCGAGGACGTTTCTTTCCCATCGGTCATCGGTTCTTCCAACTATATGGCCGACCGACCCATTGTCACTTCAACTTCTTTTTTATAGAATGAGGGTGATAAGCGTGCACACAGTCCACTTGTTGTTAAATGGATGCTGTAGCCCACAGACATCTGCATTTATCTTCGATTAAGAATCAAAATGCAAATATGTTGTCGCACCTAAGGACTGCGATGGAATGCCTCGTTTCAAGGGTCTCCTTTTCTCTACACTCACTATACCAAACACAGCAGCATTATGCTGATACTTTACTCGGGTATTATGTGAGACCGTGGTTCTTCACCGGGCGAGCCAACTCGTTTGTGCTACAACCGTAACAAAGCTGAAGCGTGGCTACGGTGTAAAAAACTTACTGATGCGCTGAACTATAACAGTTACTTTTGTTCTTCTGTGGATATCCTCGATACGGATTAGGCTGTTATTTTACTCTTCTTTATCTCCCGATATAGAAACCAATGGCGTTTCGATGGTGGTTCAACAGCTCGACTCATAGCAAGCGCGAAATCAAGACTTCGGCATTGCACTCTTCCCCTGACAAGTTAGGTAAGGCATTTCACAAATTAAATATATCTATTTATACTGTTACTGTGTTTTGAAGGCGTAAGAGAGTTTAATTCTCCATTTTCTTTTGGTTGTATAAGTGACTAGTTGGACTTCATCATGTATTAGAGCGAAACAGTGATGAATAAATCGCAAATACCATCGAATTTCTTCGTAAGACGTAGCACAAAATATCAAAATTTACTAGTAAAGACAACGAAAGAAAATGAAATCGGTTTGTGAAACGTCAGATTGAATAGAATCAACCATAGAATACTATAATACGCAATAGAATGGCTGTCAAACTTATTTTGTACGAGATTCGGCGTCGCCGGGACGCACATACAAGCAATTACGTCGTATTATAACTACTACAGACCCGATTCGATGTTTTGACAGACTGAGTAAATTTAGACTTTTGATTAATGTTCAAAACGTAGACAGAAAAACGTATAGACAAACTGACGCCTTCTTTATATATCCTAATGTCATATTAGTTCTAGTTTTTAGTGTTTATATTAGTATTAGATTAATTGACTTGGACTTTTATATTTGGTATGTTTTATATATTTCAAGTTTTATATATAATTTATTATCAAAAAAAAAATGGAAAAAGATGGATAGAAAAAAGAAGAAATATCCTTGTGTCAGTAAAAATAGTAGTAAAAGTAGTAGTAAAGTACAAAATGTACAAGGTAGAGGCAAAATTTGTATGAAGTGGCAGTTTTTATTTTCCTTCGGTTGTATATACCCTTTTTAAACCTACATCCCGTATAAACATTACTAAAAACGACATTTATGAAATATAAAAAAGGTAAAAAATTATACTATCACGACAAAAGTAAAATGGATATTTTTGGAAAAAAAATTAATAAGTTATATATTTAATGATGTAGAGCACCTTCACCTGCGATCTCGAACGTATTTATGCACGGGGGAGAGCGCCCCCTCTAATGGCTGGGAATGTAAAACAGCACAGCTAGACGGAAGCCTTAAGTCGTATCGGTCCGCAAAAATTGCTGGTGATTGTCGATTCCACACGGAAGTTGTGCGACAAAGAAAACTTCTTGTAAATCACACAGTGGTGGATCAGTGTTCATCTAGATGATATGGATGGTATCGCGAGCATAAACTATATTATCGATTTACTTCAGATGCGACGTAATACGAAATGTCAAATATGTTTTGGCGACGAGTTTATTACTCTATCTCCCGTGGGTTCATTTATTTGGCCTTCATTAGATTATAGTATAAACATTTATCTACTGTCCTGGATGTATGAAAGTGTCTATACTGTGAACTATTGTGAACACCACAATGGCTTATGAAAATCCATAATCGCAATTCGTCCTGTAAGTGTAGTAAGAGATACAAAAAAAAACGTTTTTTTAGTATTATAAGCCAGTACTTTAGTAATATTCCACATAATATTGAGTGGTGATGCAGCTGAATATAGACAAGTGCACTGATCTAACAAAATACTATTCACTCTTGCCATGCGTTCTGGTTTCCGATAGTTCCCTTGTTGCGTCAGCCAGTATCCGAATCCTCAGTGTCGATTAACGTGCAGTTTCCGGGTCACTTGGAAGAGAACACAAAATTGGCCTTGCTCAGCAGAGCGGGACAGTATTTCATGCTGGCACAACGCCTGCAACTTTACAAGGCGCATGTTCGACCGCACATAGAATAATGTTCCCATCTTTGGGCTGGGGCTGCCTAGTGCCACTTTCCATTTGATCGCATCCACCGCAGAGCTGTTCGAATCGTCGGCGACCGAGCTCTTTCCGATCGGCTTGACTCACTGGCACTGCAAAGAGATGTTGCATCTCTGCGTATTTTATCGCATTTACCAAGGCGAGTGCTCTGTGGAATTGTTCGAACTAATTCTAGCCGCACAATTTCACTATCGCACATCGCGACAAAACTCGCGATACCATCCATGCCATCTGGATGACTGGCGGTCCACCACTGTGTGATTTAAAAGAAGTTTTCTTCTTCGCACAACTTCCTTGTAGAATCGACTACCACCGGAGATTTTCCCGGACCGTTACGACTTAAGGACCTCCAAGAAAAAAGCCTGCTTCTTTTTAAAAGGCCGGCAACGCATCTGCAATTCCCCTGGTGTTGCAGTTGCTCATGGGCGGCGGTAATCACTTACCATCAGGTGAGCCGTATGCCGTTTACCCTCTCTCCTATAAAAAAGATAAAAAGAGCAGAATAACCATTTCATTTACGCCAGACGTAAGGTATCCAACCAGTGACGGTCTCCAGCGTCAAAGGTGCTAAGCGGCTGCTAAGCGTGGCTAATATGGTAAAATAATCGTAGTGTAGTATATAAGGCAATCTTTAGAAAAGACCTAAGCCTATGTCCTTTTAGCAGTGGACTTTTATTAGGCATTAGTAATGATGATGATGAAGGAAAAAACATTCTTAGTTGGCGTGATTGTTTTTAAAGTCACAGTAGTAGACCTAATTTTAACTATACGGACTACGAAACTCAAAATTCGTGAGATCGAACTCATACGTAGATAAAGCACGGTGTAGATTATCTATACCTGTTAAGTTTGTGTCACAGTGTTTTAATAAACATAAGCAGTTTGTGTTTGAGTTTTTTCAACCAACTTCAAAAAAAAGATGAATTTTTATGTGTGTTACCTTATAACTTTTTTCTTGGTGAATCGATTTTGATGATTTTTTAGAAAGCTGATGTTTTGTATATGATCCCATATAAATTTGATCAAAATCTGACCAGTAGTTTTTGAGTTATCCTTAATAAATCGTATATAATTGACTTCGACTACATTGATTATGTTCTCATTTTATTTATATTGAAGTCGGTTGTACAAAATTTTTAGTTTTCCTACTTGTAATTTAGAAAAACAATCAAAATTCGTAGGTTCGAAGTGCGAACTCGTCCGTAGATAAAGCACGGTGTACATAGATAACCTAGTTAAGTTTGTTTGTTTGTGGGTTATTCGTATTTTAAATTAGAAAAAGAAATCAAAATTCGTATATTTGAATCCGCCATTCTACAACTGTCGTGGTCCTTTTTTGTTCAGTTTAGTATTTTTAGCTCAATTGTAGAGCTTTATAAGAGCATTAGTAGAGTGTATAGTATTGCTAGTATTTTCTTAAATATTTAATACGTTCGTGATTGATTGCATAGGTACCTTGGAGTATGTTATAAACAGTTCGGATGACTATGGTTGGGTGCAGTGCAGCGGGTCCAATACTGTCGGAGCACAACAAGAGCCGTGCTTGTTTCAGATCCTACCTGCGGGTAAGTAAAATCACACGATACCAAATTCTACTTAATCAGCCCGTTTAATGGACGACACACACGGTCAGTTCAACTGATCATTTTGTGGCGGCGCTGTCGTCGCGCCACACCGAAGCCTAAATCACGCCATCAATATTCCGAATCATAAAACAGTATATATAGCACATCTAGCTAGCTAGCAGAACACCTTACCCGGCGGGAGATCTCCCCTTTTCCTTCTACGGCCACAGTGGCGGCTAACACTCCGTGTGATAGTTCGGAGATGTTCTATATATACTGTTTTATGATTCGGAATATTGATGCCGTGATTTAGGCTTCGGTGTGTTTCGCTTGCGGCGCGACGACAGCGCCGCCACATCACCCCCCCTGCTCAGACCGGACTCGGACCGCCACAATTCCAACTGATCAGTTCAAACTAGGACTTATGATATTTTTAAAAATATCGAATTATCAATATATCGATTATTATAAATATATCAATATCGGAGTTTTCTATATAAGTTTATTTACGGATATATCGAATATCCGATATTTTAAAAAATATCAACAGTTCTAGTTTGAACTGATCAGTGTGAGTGATTAGCTGAACTGACCGTGTCGTCCATGAGATCATTCAGATAAATCTATACAAATAAATGAAATTGAATTATCTATTTGTAATGTCAAAATAACAGCTTTTTACGAAATGGATATAAAGTACTTAACCCCTCGGCTGTCCAAACGCCATATTCTGGCGTCTCAAATAATATGCGCATCTGTCAAACGCCATAATATGGCGTCGAGTGATAGCAAACTATTTGTAACATATATATGATATATATAACGTACATATGTATAACATATATATATATATCTGTGCTTATTTAATAACATTTCTATTGATATATGATTTTAATATACTTACTTATTATATATATATATATATATATATATATATATATATATATATATATATATAAAAATACATAGTATACTTGTTATATACTTAGATAGTACTTCGGAAAGTGCTCGACAGATGCGCCATATTGGTCAAAATGACCCCGACATTCGAGTGGTTACGAGTATAACAAACACATAGTTTTTGAATTTTTTGTCTGTGTGTCTATCCGTTTGTTCCGGCTAATCTCCTAAATTTCTGGACCGATTTTGACTGTATTTTAACTGGCAGATAGCTGATATTATAAGGAGTAAATTAGGCTTCTTTTATTTTGGAAAAAGAATTATGGTTATAGATTACGAACCAAGTTTTTAGTATATGATTTATGACTATATGACCTTAGATTTCATAAAAGGAAAACATGATAACATGTAATTTTCTCGATAAAAAAGCAAAGTGTGTTTTAATTAGTTCATTTTTACATGACACCACAATATTTTTACGAATAAGTACATAGAGTTATTTTTAAGGCGTAGTAAAAAATCATATCTAAGTTCCCATAAACCATTTTTTAATCCATAACAGTTTTGTTAAAAAACAATTGTTTGGCGCTTACTTAGTTTTTTCCGAGCGGGTGCTCGGTATAGCTATCTTATAATTTGCGTATTAGGAAGTCACTTTCATTTTGACACTTCCTAAATCGTCCGTGAGCTTCGACGACAAAGGGATAAGCCACGCTCCAAAACTACGATTCATATTCAAAGTATTGTCTTAAACTCTTAAACGATAGTAGAATACTACACTCGAAATGGTAAAAAAATAACTTGTAATAAAAGAAATCTAATAAAAAGTGAGCTTCTAATAAAAAGTTGATTCTAACACGTATTGTATGGGAAAATAAAGCCCAGCCTTCAGATTGTGAAATTATTTTATTGTTTTTAATTATCTGAAGTCGGATTTTACTTTTTATTAAAATTTAACTTTTTTTTATAAAATAAAAAAATTTCATATTTCGACCATATTTTGACTTGGATTCATGTTAGCTTAATTCTATGGGAATTTTGTGTTTTAATTTTTTTACATTTACATTACATTATCTTAAAAAAAATTCATATAAATATGAAGTACCTAGTAATGTCTGCACTTATGAAAATTTGTTGGCACTCTTAATTTCTTAAAATCTATTTGCTGTACAATAATGTGATTGAAGATGATCAAATCCTATTAAATTTGACTAAATAATTCTCTTGCATCTCCTACGGTTTCAGATCTCATGGCAGAAAACACCTATATATTAATTTTATGATTATTTTCACTAGAAAAGCCGTCGAGCGTTAAGAGTTGTGAAGTAACCAACGTGACATACGACTCGCTGTTACTCAATTGTACCGCTGGATATGACGGTGGTGTGCGACAGGCTTTTGTGTTAGAGGTAATCGATTTTGGTATTATATATCCTAATAAATGTATCAAAAAGCACTCGTATCGATGGAGATGAGTGCAAAGTTTCAAGTCAAACGGCCGTTTGCAAGTTGGTAAAAATTACATTATAATATTCCGATATATAGATAGATACACGCGAAGCTCATAGCGTGGTGAAAACGAAAGAAACGTGGTATATTATATTTTTACCTCAATAATTATTTGTGACTAGGTTCGAGTGTAAACAAATTATATTTCGTAGGTATTCGACACGGAGTCCGGTTTACTCCTTCGTAACATTAGCAACGATGAGCCAAATTTCGACGTGCCGGACGTGCACGCGCGCGGGCCGCTCACTCTGTCCGTGCGTGCGTACAACAGCAAGGGCTCGAGCGACGCGTTCATACTCACATGTAACCTGTTGAAGTATCCGGAAAGAAGGACAGGTATTTTATAAACATTTTTTTAAATTATTTGTCGCGGCTTCTGAGTATCCACTACTATAATATATCATCTCGTTGTTAAGATTAACAAACTCGGTAACATGTAAGATCTTTCCTTACCGTCCAAGGTAATGCTTCCCTCCAATGTCCTATGCACTTCCCTAAATTTTATAAAAAAATCACCTCAATCCTAACATTTTAAATAAAGCAGACTGAGAAACATTTCTTGTCTCACTAACCCTCTCTCTTCTTCTTTCATTTACGGTCACTGACCTATCGCCTAAAATCTGTTGCCATTTTAGTAAATGAGTTGTTATAGTTTATTATTTTAGTGCACCCTAGCGGAAGGAGGGCTACAATTCGATTTGTATGTATGTATGCGAGATATATTTTTTTTTTTTTTGATAATTCCTTTCTTAATAGAATAGGTTATATTTCAGGGGATGTCCGATATAGCCTATTAGAGAATAAATTCTTTCCAACAGGCAATAGCAGGTGAAGTTTTTGATGTAACTGTTTAGACATGAGATTGAGATATTCCTTAGTCAACTCTCAAGGCTAAAAAATAACTTTTAAATATCAAGTATAAAACCGACTTCAAAGAACTAAAAAGAAAAAAATATTTCACGTTCTGAAGTCGGCGCCTTACTTCTTCTTTAAGTAGTACACTATGTCTTGCCACCGAATTCCTTTTGGAATTCTTGCAAGAAATTGCTATAAAACAATAAAACCGCATAAAGTTTTTTTTTTGTATATTTTGTTATTTTAATCTTGCCTTGATGCAGTGCCGTAGTATAGAATACTGCAGTTCGGGGCCGCTAAAGCCAAAAATGTCGCCCTCCATTTTCGAAGTAGGTATATTGAACAAGTGTAATTGGTAAAATTTCCATAGCATTGGTATATTATTTAAAAATAAATGAAACAATAATAATGTATCTTTTATACTAATCCTTACTATTGGCGAGTACGTCTGTGTGTATTAACTTTCAGAACTCTTAATGCTAGATGTTTTAATGAAAAGAATTCAATACACTTAATTTTAGATTTTTGAGACTTGTATTATTGAAAAAAGATATGGCAGGGATTGACTTTCATTTCCAAAATGCCGTCCGTGGCCACGGTATCCCAGTCCCCTTGCTACGCCTCTATCTAAGCAACGCCTTAATTGGCAACGATCGCACGAGTGAACGCTTCGTCGCACGATTAGATTAAACCACATAAATCGTAATAATAAGACAGTAGAAGTCGCATAGACGCGTGACCTTGTCGCCGCTATGATGTGATGACGAACATCATTTACCATTTTGTGATATGGTTGCGCGAAGAACGTCGTGAATATATGTTATTATAAATTTATAATGGTGAACTGCAGCATAATTAGTAGAAACTCATCAAGGACGTGTAATTTAACTAATAAAGGCATAACATTTCATCGGTAAGTTGATTATTTACTAATTATCATTGTTTTAAATAATTAATATCTAGATGAACACTTTACTATGATATTTACCTTTATAAACTTTCATTTATTACTTGTCGTATTGATAATTACCACCGCTGCTTTTGTTCTACCGTGATACGCGACGCACGCGACGTTGACAAACTCGCCAAGCAATGTAATGTGAAACATTAGATATCATTGTGCATTGCGTATATCTATAATGCGGTAAGATGTGGCGACATCCGTTTTGGAAATAATCGAGCGCTAATTCATTTCTATTGTCTTATTATTATCATCTCTGTGGATTAAGCACACACATTTCTTTAGTGTCCTAATTGAAACTTGCAAGTGATCGCGCGAACACAAGAAATGCTTAATAACGATCTTACAATGGGTTCGATCGTACGATCGTGTAATAAAAGATACAAATCTCTTTTGAGTGTTCTAATTGGTCACGCGTCATCGCGCGAGCGCAGCAAGGGATGAAGGGCGAGGGCCTTTTCATTGTTATTTTAAATTTTCTGAGTAATATTGCTCAACGGTAAAGACTGTGTGTGTCTGTAAACAGCCATTGTTGAAATGGCGCTGTTGCGGTGGAGGTTTTTCCTTATAGAATAAGGGTGATGGTAAGTGAAAGCTGTTGCCCATAGATATCTACATTTATTCTCGATTAAGAATCAAAATGCAGATGCGACGTCACCCCTGAGGACTAAGATGGAACGCCATTTTCTGTAAAAAAAGGGTCTCCGAATTTCTACATTCACCATACGAAACACAACCGCCTTTAGCTGCTATTTTACGCTGGTGTTCTGTAAGAGCGTGATCCTTGCCCGGTCGAGCCGACCCATTCGTGCTGCAATCATAATATAGCTGCAGCGTGGTTTTAAGACGTATTGAATACGTAAAGGTGCGGCGCCTTCGCGCGATAGTATTTGTACGAGCTATTAGGACACCTGTTGGACTATCCCATGAGCATTTTCATCGTGCGATGAATTCGCATCGTTTACTCCTAAGATCCATAGCCGATTGGGACGACGCCTTATTGTACAAAAAAGAGTATCGTATTGAATAGTAAAATACTTGTTAAACGAAAATCTTATAGGAATACTAAATCTCTAACAATACACAACAGCGCAAGTCCCAGTGAAGGTAGAGCTGACAACGTTACTTGTCACACTGTTGGTGGCGATGGGCTTGTTCGCGGTGACAGCCGCCGTTTCTGCCACAATGTGCTATTGTAAATATTTGAATAAGACCAGAGGTAAGTAGCCATTGTAGAATTTACAAAGTAAATGTTTTGTAGAATAAGGGTAACATACGAGCATACAGTCCACTTGATGGTAAGTGGATGCTGTGGCTATAGATGTCGACATCTATTTTCAATTAAGAATCAAAATACAGCTAGGGTAGTAACTACTGAAGACTAACATGGAATGTAAGTAAAAGGATCTTCGGTTCTTGACACTTACAACACTAAATACAGCATTAAGCTTACATTTTACGCTGGTATTCTGTGAGAGCGTACTACAACCATAATGTAGCTACAGAATGGTTCTATCGCGTACAAAAATTAAATTGTTTGAGTGAATGACCCATAGAATACTATAATACACAATAAAATGGCTGTCAACCTTATTTTGTACGAGGTTTGCTGTCGCCGTTAGCACATATATAAGCAATTACGTCGTATTATCACTACTACAAACCCGATTCGCTGTGTTGACAGACTGAGTAAATTGAAACTTTTTCGGGTTGCGTTTATTTAACTGATTTTCTTATTTTTAATTCCTGACGTCGAAGCACCCGAAACGTCGGGAATTATAAAAAAAAAATAAGTAAAATCAGTTAAATAAACGCGATAGAATCCGTAAATTTAGTTTTATTCAATGTGTAGTGTTCGCGTAAATTTAAGAAATCATTAGACTGAGTAAATTTAAACATTTTAGACTTTTGATTGATGTTCAAGATCATCATTTAAAAAAAACGTTTATATTAAAATACATATTTATTTGTAAATGCAATTTGGCATTTTCTAAATAATTTGAATGCGAAATTTGGAAACAATTGTAACGTCGAAACACATCTCGTGTTGACAGTTATACGTGTGAATTGACATGTTAGTGACATTTTAGTGGCTACACGGGCTCCCCCCCCCCCCCCCCCCGTTCTATTATGTATGTATTATAGTATTCTATGGAATGACCCGACGTTGGCGTAACAGAATCCACTAAACTATATTAAACAGTGTGTGTCCTAAGAGGCGACAGAGGGGAGCAAACCAGGGATGAAAAGCAGCTTCCTGGTAACAACTCAAAGTAATAATAAATTATAGTTGCCAATCTGCCAGACGAACCTGAACTATGGAAATATCACCATATTTGTTGTTTTTTATTAATTATGAACAAGTTACCGACCTAAAAACTTTGTTTCAAATCCTTTAATGAATTTTAAATCCGTATTAAATTATCTCTAAAACACTGTAATGTGAATTTAAAGTATCGTTTTTTTTTAATAAAAGTAAATAATTTTATCTTGCAAACACCAGTTCTTTTATGAATATGAAAAAACAAAGTAAAGAGACAATATGTACCGCAAACAAGAAACTACGACGTTATGAATTACATGTAAAGTACATATTTCAATTGATATCATTGACTTCTACAGTTTGCATTACAAAAAAAAAGAATAAAACTATGAAACGGATGCCTTGTTCAAGTACAGTTTTAATTTTATTCAGTATGATTTTGCAATTTTAAACATTTTTTTTTTCAGAAAACAATGAAAAGGCTAAAAGGCCACAAGATGACACTTCCGATGTGCTTCTGTCAAGTTTAAAAAAGACTGAAAGTAATGATAGCGTAGGTGAGTTTCTCTCTATTTATTATATGCTTACATAATATAGTTTTACCGTCTTTTTTATTTGACTTGACTTAGTGTTTTTATAAAGTTAGATTTAGTTTAGAAAGGTTAAAAATATTAAAATTTTTATTAATGTGCAAGATAAAAATTGGACTGTTAAACTGACATCTCGCTTTGCATTCCGCACTAACTTCAAGTGCGATTAGTAAGGTGTGAGAAAACAAAATGTATTCAGTTAAAATTTGTAAATATACAATTTCAATGTGCATGATATGACGGTCGGTTTCTTTTCCATCTAATTAAAAAATGAGGAGGTACTCAATTCGACTGAATGTTCTTTTTTATGTGTGTGACCCATACCTTTTTTCTAGGCGAACCGATTTCGACGAGTTTTTTTTTATGTTTTAATCCAGTGCTTCTCATGTGGTCCCATATAAATTTTCAATTTATCAATACCAATAGTTTTTGAGCTATCCTATAACTTATATTGAAGTGGGTTGTACAAAATTTTAAATTTTTAATTATAATAAGTTTAAAAAGTGAGGTTGTCAGTAAACCCAATCTTAATTTGACACAGTACTAATTGTAATTATACCATTCAATCGGTAGTACAATAGTTGGTATTTTCACATTTAATTTCGTTGGAATTTGAATAAATTCATCTTTTTTTTTTGCAGATAAAAACCCAGATATAATTCCAATAAAATCAAAAATCAGCGACAACTGTTCCGTAAGTTCCAATAGACCTTTAATGTCGAAGGCAGGTTTAGAAAAATTCGAATCCACAAATTTCGACAGTTTTCATGCGTTCCCTGCTAACAGTTCCTGCCAATATGACCAAATGAAATATCGAACGCCTCAAGCGTACCAACAAAATTTAGCCCCAATGTCAAATGTTGGCGCCAATGTATGTTGGCAGCCTTGCGACAACGTTTACGAAGACTGGCTGAGATATAAAAACGCGTTACCTTTGGATACTAGTGACTTGGTGAGTATAACAGAGTGTCTTTCTCTATTGATAAAACTAATTTTTCAGATTTGATCGCGTTTAATTGTATGTTTAGACAAAGTATTCGACGCGGTGTTGAGGTCGCGTGTGTGTGTGCGTGCATTGCACACATGCATGTACATGTGTGTATGTTGGGAACAATTGTACATTAGTGAACTTTTTGTTTCGCATATTTATTATATAATGTGAGGTAGCTTTGGGTAAATGAAGGACTCGTGATGGTGGTTAAAACGAGACTACTAGACTAGTTTAGACTGCTTAATATTATACAGTTTTTATATACTTAATATTATACTGCTCAATATTATACAGTTTTTATATACTTAATACTATACTGCTTAATATTGTACAGTTTTTATATACTTAGTTATAAAAAATAATGGTTAATGTTAGGTTTCCAATGCAAGTAATCCAAAAAAATACCTAAGTTATACGGTATGGTCTTATTACAATCATTATATGGATAAAGCCTCGAGGTACATCGAATAAAGTCTCAATTAAAGTTCTCAGTAGACATTATATTTAATTACAGTATGCTTAGAATTAATCAATTTGATTATTTTATCTACCTACCTACACAATATATATTTTTGAAGTCAATCCAATTACTTATATTTGATGCGTGAATACAAATTTAACCTGACTATGCCGCAAGGCGAAACCGTTCGGATTTTTTCGTCAATAACTTAGTAATTTAAAATAAATATTGTAAAATGAGTACAAGTGCTGAACCAAATCACAAAATGCGTAAAAAAAAGCTTGAAATGAACCGATGTGAAAGATAGCGGACGCATCCACATTAAATTTTTTTTAAATTTATTTATTCGATACTGGAAGTGTTACGAATAATTCCTTTGCGTATAATGTATAAAAAATCCGCTATAAAATAACTCAACACTTCAGATATCTATCACACTAAAACTGAAAACTTTATTCTAGCTGCCACTGGAACAGCTACGGCCACCGGAAGAGTATTTACCACCGCCCTTGGTTTACAGCGATACACTTCGCAAGAAAAGTTTGTCCCAGTTGCAAGAGCTTGACAGGTATTACGTGCCGGCGTCCAACATGGCGCGCGACTTGAGAGTCTGCCAGAGTCCGACCGTACGAGTGAGTGCGGAAAACAACAGCGTTTATTATAGACACGAGGCTGATAGTTTGGCGCGGTTGAAGAGTCCTGTTCGTGAGTAATTTTATATTTTCTATTTATTAGTTAGTTAGTGGCCATATAGTGACGGTGTAAGGATATCCACTGCCCTATTATCGTCCCGTTGGTATCGTAAGAGGCGACAAAGGGAGTCAAACCAGGAGTAGACATCAGCGTCGCCGTGTTCTAAGAACACCTAAAAACAAAGCTGCGTTTGCCAACTTGTATTCCAAGCGTGGTAATTATGGCAAATATCTCCCCCCCCCTCCTCTATAGGGAGACATATGTTCAGCAGTGGATTTTTGACAGACTGTAACGTTAGTTGTATATCTCCGAATGACTGCTAACACAAAAGCAACATAAAGGTACCTATATACATCACACATGTATTTAAAATAATAAAGAAAGTGCTGCAATTACTTAAAAGTTAAACTTTGCATGCATATGGCTTACCAAAATAACTATACTTAAAACAATAACAAAAGGTGGGTTTGTACAAAAAACAGGCTTATATTGCTGCAGCATTGCTCTAACACGTCAATATAATTACGGCATGTCTCTCGAGGATAAATGTAGATATCTATACGGTCACAGCTCCCACTTGCGATCGGGTGTACTGTGTGCTTATTTGTCACCCATAAAAAATATTGAAAAAAAGGTTTGTATGCTAAGACAGTGCGATTTACCATCTTGGGCTTTATCACCATTTACCCCCAGATGGGATTGTATTCAAGATCTGGCTTATAATTGGTAATGAAAGAAAAAATAAAAGATCCAAAAAACGGGATTACATAAAATATGTACCGTAATAAATCACCGCACTTGAATGAAGTTAAAAAATGTACCACTTGTCCTAGCAAATCATGAAATGTGATATTTGTGTTGTATACATCAAACGGCGACATAATGGCGCCGGCCAACACGTGCGTGCAAATCTAAATGTGACAGAGAAAAAAAGCTAGCTTTCTCATGTTTATTTAAGCTTGAGTTGTATATCAAATATTTTTTAATTAAACAATATTTATGTCACCATAAAGCTGTTTATTTTATATATTGGGAGTCATATGACTATTATGTTAGAAACAAAACAATATGATTTTATTCGTCATTTTTAAGCTAGAATACATCATATCAAACAAATAGACTATGTTTCATATATGTTTATTTATCACTAGGCAGGCTTTGCCTGCGTCTTGTGTGTGTGTGGCCTTATTAGGTAGTTACTTTATTCTGGGGTTAACTGGTGGTGATAAAGCCCAAGATGGTAAATCGCACTGTCTTAGCATAACAAAAACCTTTTCTTTTAAATAGAACGTGGGTGAAAAATAAGCACACAGTACACCTGATGGTAAGTGAAAGCTGTGACCGTATAGACATCTATATTTATCCTTGATTAAGAATCAAAATGCAAATGCGTCGTCATCCCTGAGCCGCCTCGTTTCCAGTAAAAAAGGGTCTCCGGACTCACCATACGACTCAACATACTATATACTTTATGTACTGCAGTGTCATATAGTGGTGAGTAATGGTGGTTAATATAGCGCATAGCGCCATATTATAGCGCGCTATCTCTTCATAACGCATAGCGCGTGCTATGTAAGTAGTCGCCATGGCGCTATGACGCTATGACGCTTTGGCGCTATTCATATTCAAGCGGCAATTAGTTCTAGCAGCAGCGCTGTTGGGAGTAGACGTGTGACGCAAATTTAATCTTGCAGCACGCTATTCATCGCGCGCGAACTAATTTAGTGTTAGACGTTATTTAGTTAGTGTATACTGTATATTTGTAAGTGATCGAAGGACACAGTTGTCTGCTACAAAAGAAGCCTAACTAATGTTTTTAAATGTCAATAAAACATGATACAAAAGTGTATATAATAGTATTTGTAAATAGTTGATTCTTGTATAAACTTTTAAATACACCTTTGATTTATAATTTATAATAAGGTTAAAATAACGTTTACATCAACTATAATAACAAATGATTAATTTTATTTTATTTTAAAAATTACAGTCCATAAAAATATTTTTTGGATTATAAAAAGTCTGAAAAGTATGAAAGAGCGTTCTTTAATTTTTCTTCACCACTTTATTTTATTTTAATCTAAAATGCGACTTATTACGAAACAATGTTCTTATAAAGCACGCGGTCTATCCAATGAACGACATGTAATGTAGCGTGCTCCGAGATATAGCGTGCTGCTAAACTTAACGCGCTTGCCGGCCTCCTACACGCTTTCTTATAAATAGCGCGCTATAACATAGCGTATTTAATAGCGAGCTAGAAATTTCTAGTTTATAGTCTGTAGCGTGCTATTGATTTATAGTCGTTTTGAACAACTTTAGTGGTGAGTTACTACAATATGGATACGATAAAAATATTTCTATGAAAAAAAAATACATATTATACTTATGTGGTTTCATGGTGATGGGTCAAACGGTGTCGAAGTCTTAATCTACTTTTCATCTCAAACCAACATGTTTTTATAATATGTACGTGCCAAAAGCTTCCAATTAAGGTGAAAAGTTTAAGTTTTGCTGTTAGGCCGGTTTTAGAGCTCGACCGACCGTCGGTGCGTACTGGTGGCTTGTCTTTTGTATGAAAATTCAAGTTTAGATATTGCTACGCACTGCGTACGAGGACCGTCGGTCGAGCGCGTCTGCATGGGAGTCCGCATGCGTACCGTCGGTCGATCGACCCGCTATGGAAACATATTGACGCGTTCACTTCAGTGCTACACCGACCGTACGGATGCGTGTATCATCGTCAAGAAAATCGAATCTAAACTTTAACAATATTGTGATTTTATAGGTAATAAGTAGTGTTAGTGATTTAAGTTATTTTTATCTATTTATGTCGACACCGAATGCCTAATTACCGAAGTCCGTCTTCGTGAACATCTGTGGTAGAAAGGCCACATGTATATATACAAAGACCAAAACCGTGCCAAGTTAAAGGCGTGGGAAGATGTTTGTACAGCTTTGTCTCCGAATGTTTGGATGTTTTAAGTTGTCTTGTAATTTCACTGATCATCAAAACTTTTGATTGACATTCTAAAGTAATTAAAAAATTTTTCTTCATCTTTGCGCAATAATGAATATAAAGTAGTAAATTCCCCTTTGAAGAGCTCTTTGGACGACGATTGGGTGAACCTGATATCTACGTCTTCTGTTTCTTATACGTTTACGAACATAGTAAGCAGCAATTAAACAATTTGTATACGCGTCCATTTCGTGTACGTGTTTGTGACTGTACCAGTACGGCCAGTTTCGTTGCTCAGGAGAGCTCTGAACGCTACAAACTGACGATCGGTTATGCGTATCGTCAGGACCGACGGGTTTCCCCCCGAACGGGTTCCCGCCTTGTCGTGGCGGGGGGAGCTTAGAAGCCGTGGCTTGGTCACCCACGGCGAAACAAAGAGGAACCCATATGGCTGGTCCGAGGTGGAGGGCCGGCCCGAGGTGGCCACTCCGAGTGGGCTTGGGAAGGGGGGCACTTCGGATGTGTGTTGGTGGACTGCGGTGAGAGGTGTGTCCTCCCCACCTACCGCTGCAGCCGAGGTGGAGTCGCGGAGGAAGAGGAGTGTTGGTATGGCGATGCGCCACTCGCCCTATCCTCCGCGACTCAAACGGGGCCGCACCGTTGATGCGGTGGTGATGGGGCTGCGGGGGGAGAGGATTTTCGGTATTGCGAGGCGCCGCTCTCCCTATCCTCCGCAGCCGAATCTTGGTTGGCGGCGGAGCCATAGACCAGATCCGCCGCTGGGGTCGGGAAGGCTAGTACTTCTAAGTGCTCGTTTTTCCTGGCCCCATGGCCTTCGCGCATCGGACGCGGGGGCGTCTGTTGCGCAGATGTAATTGGAGGCCGTGGAGGAAGGCGTGCCATGTGTTCTGGTGCGCCTTACTTGGGAAGGAGAACGGGGAGGAATATTCCTCTCCCGATGAGGTGCTGCCATGGGGCGGCAGTCACTGGTGGGGCCGCGGAAGTGTGCGAAAGCGTTCCCGTAGCCCTGCCAATATGCGACGAAGGTGGAACACCATGGGGTTTTAGTCGGTGCGAGTCCGACATAACCCGTCCTTGCCCCCGCGAGGCGGGTATGCGTAGGCATTTCCCCATGTTAAAAAAAAAAGGACCGACGGTACGCTCCGACGGTCGGTCGAGCTCTAAAGCCGGCCTTAGTGTTTAAAATACAGTGACCTTCAACTTCAAAGTAATAGTCTACATTTTTTTTAAACGTTACCTCCACACTAGGATTTTCTCCTGTATCGTGGGGGCAGTTTACAAACATAAATTTCACAAGGACAAACATCCAGACCCGGAACAATTATTTGTAGGCAATACAAATTCTTGTTCCGTGCGGGATTCGAACCCGCGGCCCTTAGCGTTGTAACTCATTGCTAAGCCACTGCGCCACGGAGCCGTCAACATGTTTGTATGTTTGCGTTTAATATGCTGTTTTTAGTACAAACCCACTTTTTATTATTGTTTCAAGTGTAATTATTTTGGTAAGCCATATGCATGAAAAGTTTAACTTTTATTTAATTGCAGGACTTTTTTTATTACTTTAAATACATGTATTGGTATATACTTTATGTTGCTTTTGTGTTGCAGTTATTCGGAGATATAAAACTAACGTTACAGACTGTGTAGGTCTAATAGCTTTTGAGTTATTCCAGGTTCCTGTTCGCGTTGCCTTTTTGTTTTCCGAACTTGGCTAACACGAACAAATTCAGTTTTTATTAAAGTCCAAAAGATATTAACGTAACTTGTTTATTTTTAGCAAACTCACCGAAACAAAGACCTACTAAGAATGCACGAACGGGCACGGTCAAATCAACTGAAGCTGGAATGGCGGCAGGAGATTCGGCAAATCGGGAATAGAACTAAGAAAATACTAAGAGTACTTATTTATATACACTCACGAGTATACGTACGTTACTTTTAACAGTATTTGAAACGTGCATTATATGTACAATAAGCGAAATTATTATTAGATTATTTTATTCTAATGCGTGTTTTGTTACAAACAATTTTATCCTTAAAAATTGATACTCTAATACAGAAACCTAATGTGCTATCAAATATATCGTAATTTAATTTTTATTTGCTTCATAATGTGCCTTTTTTGTAAACTTAATATTAATAATAGTTTATAAAACAAAAATAATGTTAGTTACCATTTAATTTAATAATTTATCAATATTAAGGGTTATTGCTAAATAAGAATAGTTTAATATTTTTTAATTATACTGATTTTGTGTTATTTATTGCCCTTATTATTCACAATACTATGACGTATTGAATCAAAATCGTTAGTATAAAATATTCTTTGATTATATAAAATATTATATTAACGATAATAAATCCGCCTGCTAACTGAATATAAAGGCGAATAAAAGAAGAGGAGTAGCTTCATTGGTTTTTCTTTTTTTAAACGTTAGCTCCACTAGATTTTCTCGTGTATCGTGGGGGTAGTTTACAAACATAAATTACAGGACAGGTGTCCGGACCCGGAACAATTACTTGGAGACCATAGAAACGGTTATTAAGCCACTGCGCTCTGGAGCCTTCAAGCGTCAAAGGCGCAAGGCGTCTGGTACTAAGTTTATTCGCCTAGCATGACAATTAAGGCAAAATAAGTAAATAAGAGGGTGATGTTTATCCAGACGGAGTCTTTGCGTACCATGAAATGAAGCTGAGGAAGACTGTGTTGTCATTTTAGTTTAGGGCATTTATGCGACTTTTTCTCCATATTTTTCTACCAGCAACTTTTTTGGTTAGCATTGATTGTTCCAGCCAATTACGGTTTACTTCATTACATTTACTTCCGGAAGGTACCTTATATCCGATATAATTGTTATAGAATAAAATCAGAGGAAATAATCAACCTACAGTATCGGTTATTCGCCATTGAGGACTTTCGCATTTCAATGCGATCCATTTAGGAATAATTTCACTGATTTCGACTGGGTTATAACCTAACAGTGCGATTGTGAAACTCTTGTATCGTGATTTGTGTCAGTTTGATGATTTTTTTTTTGTTGGATTGAGTAAATGCGTCAGCTTGTGATATAAGCGGATGGCTTATATTTTTTGTTACAAAATATTGTAATTCTTAAAAAACAACGCAGTTTTGTAGTGATAGGTAGGTACTTACCCACTGGCAAATGATCCCTATTTACACCATCGCACTGCAGAGCCTAACCAGATAATTCTTTGATATCATTAAACTCGTTATTATATTGGAGATTTTCTTTGGTTGTATATGTTATAATTTAAAATATGGTTCTAATAATGTGGTTAAAAATCACAATATTATGTTTAAGTGAAATTGGGTTGTTGACACCTCCATGAATAAATAATTACGTAATATAATATTGATTATCTTTTTTTTAGTTTTGTCTCAAAGCTAAGTCAATTTTCCTTTTCAATTTAAATTATACAAAAAAGGTGTTTAGACTATAAGAAACTATGACGTCGTTTGCCAATGTTTACTTCATTTTGTAGAGAAATTTCTGTTTTTACCGCTCATATTAGGTATGTTATTTTGAATCAATCTGACATCAGTGTCGACTTTGATTGTGTTGAGTTTCGGCCAATAGTAATCTATTTATGCTCGTGACTGTACAATTGAAAGTCAGAACAAAGTCTTAATATTTATTGTTTAAGCTATAAATACGTTTTAAATGTGTAAAATTATTAAGAAATCAAATAAAATTTGTTAATATGTAATCGGTTGTTTCATTTGCCGTGTAGTGGCGGTGTAAGAATATCCACTATCCCGGAACGTCCCGCGGGAGTCGTAAGAGGCGACAGAGGGAAACAAATCGGGAGACTGGCAGCAGCGTCTTCCTAATAATGACTAAAAATGAAAAAGTGCGGTTGCCAACCCGCGTGCCAAGCGTGGCAAATATGGCATACATCCCCCCTGTGAGGTAACCTATGGGGAGGTTCAGCTGTGAACTTTAATAGGCTGAAACGATAATGGTGTTTCATTTAATAAAATCTCAGAATTCCAACGACGATCGAATGTTCTTATACGTGGTAAAGCCACGTTGCAGCTATATTATGGTTGTATTAAATTTTCATATTACATAGTATAAAGCTATAGTATTGTTACGAGCTTGAGGTTCGTGACAATAAAAATCGCCGATAAAATTACCTAAATTAACACTTTAATTTCCTTTACACAAATTAAAACTTAAAACACTAATAATAAAGCACACTGGTTCACTTTATTTCGCTCCGAAGCTTCGCTTGTCTCGCCAAATCCAATACTTCCTTGATCGCATCTTGCAGCGCCTATTTATATAAATTAGCAGCGAAATATCTAGAATATTCAAGTAAACACGCGCAAGGCACCGAGAGTTCGTGTTTCAACTTCAAGAAGTTTAGCTCTTCGGTTCGAGACTAGATGGCGCTAGTTCCGTCTACTTGAGCGTGTAACAGTATGTTAGCTCAACCGGGGAGTACCACGCTCTCACAGATTACTAGGATGAGAACCCGGGACCTCACTATCAGCAGTCGCATTTACAACCACTAGACCAACGGGGCAGCCGTTGTGATGTGTGTATTAAGTTATAAGTTGTTACCATCGTAAAATAGCAGCTTAATACTGCTGTGTTTCGTATGGTGAGTGTAAAGATCCGGAGACCCATTTTTACTGGAAACGAGGCATTCTATCTTAGTCCTCAGGTGAAACTCTGCAAATTGATTCCTAATCGAGGATAAATGTAGATATCTATGGGCCACAGCATCCATTTATAAACAGGTGGAATGCATGCTCGTTTGTCACCCTTATTCTAGAAAAAAATGTCTTATTCGAGTAAAGGATGACTTCGCTAGTTGTAACGTAGGAACCGCTGTGTATTGGTGGCGTTACTAGGCAGTCCCCTACGCCATATCATCCCGTGGGTGTCGTAGGAGACGATAGATAGAAATGAAACAGGAGATGGGCAGTAGCATCTTCCTTATAATATCTCTAAATCATAAAATCTGCGGGTGCATATTTCAAGTAGCTATGGAGAGGGCTACGCTCGGGGTTTCTCTGCGTGATAAATTTAGAAATGAGGATATCCGCAGTAGAACTAGAGTGACGGACATAGCCCAACGGATTAGTGAACTGAAGTGGCATGGGCTGGCCATATAGCTCGAAGAACCGACAACCGATGGGAAAAAAAGGTTCTCGAGTGGCAGCCTCGTCAGTGTAGTGTAGGGTGACCCCCCACTAGATGGATTTATGATCTGGCAAGACATGCAGGAAGTCTATGGATGCAGGTGGCTCAGGTCCGTGCTTTGTGGCATTACTTGGGGGAGGCCTATGTTCAGCAGTGGACGTGTGAAGAACTGTAATGATGATGATCATGATGATTTTAAGAAGTAATCTACAGGTTTTTTTATTATATGCGAGCAGCTATGCAGGTCTAGGTAAAGAGACCAGTATCACTGCGACCTAAAAAGTGTATTGTGATCGCTGCTATGGCTATAGTTCACTATAAGCCCTATGTCTTCAATGAATCGAAGGAGTTGCTTAGCCGTGAGCAATTTCAATTCTTCTGGGCGGAGTAGATAGTGTCCCAGATGAGTGTTACGTTTGCGCATTAAGGGTCCGTAATCGCTTAGGATGTGTAGAGGCGTTTCTTCCGTTATGGAACAGATCCGACAGATCCTTGAGTTGCTTAGTCCCAGGATGGACATGTGCTTTTTAAGACAACAGTGTCCAGTTAGGGCTCTTGCCAGAATGCGCAATTTATTTTTACTTAATCCCAGGGCTTCTGAAGCGAATTTACGATCAAAAGCCTGGATTAAGGTTTTAGAATGTTTTAAGCCTGGTGTGTCAGACCAGATCTTAAGATTTATTGTGATAAAGTTTCAAGGGTCAATCGGGCTAGGCTTCTTGAGATTCCACAAAATAGCTCGGGTCCAAATTGTGTGCACTTTGAGCCTTCCCGTGCAAGTTTGTCGGCAAATTCGTTGCCTACAATACCCTCGTGACCCGGAACCCATCTTAAAACGACCCTGTAGTTACAACCCAGGGCGTTTAAACGGTTCACGCAGTCTCCAACCAGCTTTGAGTTCACTAAGTTTGATCTCAGCGCTAGCAGTGCTGCTTGACTATCAGAGTTTATGTAAATTTTATGGTTGACGTAGTGTTTTTGCAGATTGATTTCCGCACACCGAAGTATGGCGAAAATTTCTGCCTGGAAGATAGAGGTGTATCTACCCAAATTCATACTAAGTTTGAATTTGGGGCGTTCCCCGTAAATTCCAAAGCCTACGTCGAGGCCCATTTTAGACCCATCGGTATACCATATGAGGCTACCGACCTCACAGATAACCTGGCCGTTCAGCCAGTCTTCTCTGGAGGGTAATTACACTATATACTTTTTATCAAAAGTGTGTAGTGGACGCATGATATCTGAGATCATGCATAAGACCGGTGATTCCTTAATTGAGTCGAGCATGGATCTCAATTGTAGGAGAGCAAGCTCAGACCGTCCTGGGCGTTAATCCTATACAAACTAGCCCTCGCCTCCTTTTCTAGATAGAGATCAATGGGCGTTAGGCATAGAAGTGCATCAAGAGCCGCTCCAGGCGATGATCGCATAGCTCCAGTTGCCATTAGGCAGGCAGTTCTTTGTAGACTATTTAGTCTGTCCGCAGTCGTCTTTTGGTTGGCCTTGTTACACCATACAATAGAGGCGTAGGTGAGAATCGGCCTCACTATGCTACTGTACAGCCATAATACCATACTGGGACGCAAGCCCCAGTTGTTCCCGACCAAACGACTGCACGTACCTAAAGCAATATTTGCTAAAATAATAGAGGTCCACGTTAGTTTTTGGTCGATTGTTACGCCCAAGTACTTAACTCCGTGGGAA